TTCCAAAATTATCATCATCAATTACACATGAAGTGGACAGTATCCTAGGCAACAAGCCCTACAGTAAAAAGGACTACCGGTCTTAAAAGGAAAGCCAGTGACACTGTCGACCTGCTTCTTTCTCTGAGCTTTGACCATTAACCTCTTTTATTATTTTTTTTATATTAATATTATTATTATTGTTGTTGTTGTTGTTGTATTTTAATACAAATTGCGGTTACAAATAAAACATCTTGAGCAAATAATAAAAAGATTTTAAATCAGTAAGATACATAATATATAAAAATATGAATTTGATTACTAAATAAAAAATGAATATTACTATTGTAATACAACTGTAAAATCATGTATTTTATTATATTACTATTACTATTGAACTACTGTTGTACTATTGAATTACTGTAAAATAAAAAATTGAGTATTTAAAAAAATTTAATAATAGTGATTTTATTTTACAGTACAGTGAATATACTAATATTTATGGATGTCTTAATTTCTAACTTTTTAAATGTTAAACTATCAAGCTTTTATTTTGTCGGAAAACCACAAGGAGCCCTCAAAAACTTCTCGTTTTGATGGTTGATGCATGTTGCATTCCCAACATTAAATAAAAATAAATCAATTATGAAACAGCAAAAATGGAAAAGGTAACATAAAAAAACATATTAGGTGCTTGTTTTTAGCCAACAGACTTTGTTATTAATACATTTGTAACATTAAAAAACACATTAAACTTCAACCCAACGTTCTTCCAGGTTCTTCCAAAATTATCATCACCAATTACACATGAAGTGGACAGTATCCTAGGCAACAAGCCCTACAGTAAAAAGGACTACCGGTCTTAAAAGGAAAGCCAGTGACACTGTGTCGACCTGCTTCTTTCTCTGAGCTTTGACTGAAAAAAACATTGGCACATGGGACCAGCACTGTCACAGGTCCTGCAGGAGACGCCAACTCACACACAACATGGAGTGTGCCGACATTAGCCTGATAGGAGGCCAAGAACCGCACGGGCAGAAGGGAAGCATGCTCACGTACAAATCAGCTAGGCCGGCTCAATAAGCAGAACGCCACTCCAGGAACCCACTGAAATCAAGCGCTCGCTTCCTCCTCCCCTTTGAAATAGTGCAGTATTAGAGATCCAGAATTTGTACTTAGTCTAGAAATGCATGAGAGCCACTGGCCATGGCACCTGCTTTTTTTCCTACATTTTGGAAAACAAATAAATTTGCATACGCTCACAGGAAGTAATAAAGCTGATGAAGCACTTTGGTGAATGCAGAAAGTTACATGACTGAATAAACTAAATAAGGCATTGGATGTTACTCATCTCTAGTTTCATATTGAAATTGTTAGCCAATATAGTGCTTATTTACAAGACCTCATTTATACAAGCTATATCATTTCTGGCTGTGTTTTAGTTTTAAACAGAGAAGGGGAAGCTATTGTAGAGTTACACATAATACTGTATAAAGCTTGGGTTGTGAGACCGTCAGAAATATATAGACATTAAATACAGGCCTCAACAAATGTGCAATATTTGAAAGTGTTTGTAAACCCATTGCTCTTTTTTACTTTTAAGAAGCAAATGACCTAGAACAGACGGTAGTTGAGTGGTGGTCTGTGTGCTCATTTGTCATCGCTTCGTCGAGCTGAAACCAAAGAAATTTAGCTCCATCCAAACCACACATACAAGGCCGTTTGATCACGTGACTTATTGTTTAAAATGTTATTTGGTACTCGTCATATGTACTCAGTGTTTTATGCCTTAATGTTGTGTATTTTAAGTCGTTTTCGGTGTGTGCGGAAATCTGTTACTATTTATATATTTTAATGCATGTTAAGTTACCAGAATAATTTTGAGCGCACTGGATTTTATTTTTCAGTCTGCCAGTATTTAAACAAGACAAGTCTAAACGATTTTTTGAAGGCATTAAGAATTTAAGGTTTTATTATTTGTTGTTAGTTATCATTTTTACCTTGTCATGTTTAATGTTTGTTGTCCTCCTGCATAGCTATGTGGTTGTGTGCGTCTTAAGTTTATTTTTTTATTTTTGTGTGTGTGTGTGTGTGTGTGTGTCAAATGGCGCCCTCTACTGGCTGGAAATACAACGCTACATGTTAGCCTACTCATTCGAAAAAGGTTAAAAAAAATTAGTTATTGCTTTTGATTAAATATAGTTAATAATATTTGCAAGGCAGTGGATCTTTTCTACTTAGTGTAAGTTATTTCGCATGTATTTTCCATGAAACATTATTCCAGATGTGTCTACAAAACTTGTAAATTATATCTTAGACCTTCTCGAACTAAAAAGCCAATTATTAGGACAGTGTTAATTTGCTGTATGAGAATTACTAGATTGCCTTATTTAGTATTAATGCAAAATATTCAGTGCTGGCAGCCACTTGTTTAGCATGTTTCATCTGTACCAAAAGAATAGTTTTTATATGCTTTATGGCATTTTAAAACCATCAGTGGCGAATGGTAAGCATAAGCTGGTAGGGGTAACAGAGGCTTTATGGAGTAATTTTATGAAGGCGTTGCTTTTAGCTGAGGGTCATTGTAAATTTCCTTATGTTTGTCATTAGTATGTTGAGTCAGGCTGCATGTGTCATATGAGACGTTAGTGGTTTGCTTTCGCTCAGGAAGCCATAATATGTTGTCAGTAATTAGATGGTCAAATTGAGCCAGTTTTAACAGTTTAGTCATGTGGAGGATAAATATCATTGAATGAGAACTTGTTGGTGTACAGTTTTTTTTCCTGCAAGTATAAAGGTTGTTGTCGAACGAACCCGTTGAGTACTTTGCTGTAAAATTAGTCCAATATTGTCAACAGGATTAAAGGCACAACATGTAATTTTCGTCGCTGGAGGGCGCATATTCAAAATAAACAAATAGACAAAGGCATAGTTTGATGATGCTGTGACTAGTGTGGAATCATGGGAGTTGTGGTCTTCATCCCCACAGCCGATGCAATCCGACGGGACTCGGGCAGAAATCATGTTCATGGATGAGCTAAGAGCTTTTATTATGCCACAGTCGACCGCTTCCGCTCCTTCCGGTCGTGCGTATGTGTGGGAAAAAAGCAGCGCTGTTTTATCATGCTAGATAGAAAACGCACAACATATTAAAGCGTCTTTGGTGTTTCCATGGGTGCGTCCGAAATCGCATACTGCTTAGTAGGTACTACATTTTGAATTTGAACGTACTACTCGACCGTTAAAAAAGTACGTTCTATATACGGAATTCGGGCGGAAGTAGTAGGTCATCCGGGTACTTCTCGCCTACTGTTTTTCGAATACTATGAATTCGGACATACTACTCGCCTCGCATACTGTTTTTCGCCTACTATATAGTATGAAAGTATGCGATTTCGGACGCAGCTCATGTTTTCTACAAAACAAAACCGGAAATCGAGGGGTTATGACGTCATTGGCAGGCGACACAATGACACTATGGACACGGTCCGTGTCACTAGTTAAAATTGCTTATTTCTCTGGATTTAAACATTCTTCGAAACATTTGGGATAATGTAAGTACACAAGTCAGCAAAATATATAACACTGTTCTAGTGGTTTTTGGATATTTTAATAAAAAAATCTTACATATTGTGCCTTTAACTGTATGTACTGGAAATCTGATGTTTTGAAGCTGATTTGATTGATAAGCATAGACTGTTTTTGGTATGACCTAATATTATGACATTTGTCAACTGTAATATGACCATTACCGTTACAGATATGTATTAAGTTATGGTGATTTCTATAGATACATAATGGAATGGTTTGATAACATGTATATAATCTAAATATATACATACTATACCGGTCTTAATGACCATTATCACATTTGCCTTCATTTATTTTTTTCATTGGCAATTATTGCTTATGACATTGTGCTTGAAGAAAAAAATATGTACAGCTTCAAACAACTGAAAATAAATTATTCTAAAATTCTTTAATTTAGTCTTTGTGTTTTATGTGTCTAAAGACCATAAAGGGAATACATTTATTTATTGGTTAAGTGTACAACAAATGTGGAAATATGTAATATGCATGATTTATATATATATTTTTTGCTCTTAAAAATGTTGTAAATTAGTTCAGAACATTACTGGGTGCCAAGAATAATTTTTTTATTAAAACGGAGTATTTTGTTCTGGAAAACTGAAAAAAGTACCAATTCAATGTTTTCCCCCTTTTTTTGGTAAGTCTCAAGAATTCTAGTTCAATCATGTGCAAATTGCAAAGTAATGTCAATATTCTTGTGATTATTTCTGCCCATTAAACACCTTAAGAGTGCACGCAGAACAGCATATGAACTATCTCAATTATTTAACTGCAGTTATCAAAAACATTCTTTTAAAAATTCAATGCCTATTTCTACACCCCTTAGAGACGTTTAACTATGAATAAAACATTTGTAAGCTTCCAGAAAATCAACCATTACAAAACAAAGAAAAAGCATCAACCATGTTTGCCATGGTTGCTGAGAAAACGAGGTTTTAAGTGCTATCTTTGGCCCCGGCTTAGCTGCAGAAATATTGAAATATACATTTTCTTTGAGTTAATTGAGAATGCAAATCACACTTTAAAAAATCCATAGTTATGTAGAGATGGTACTGTACAAAAATAAATCTGTAGCAAAAACCCTAAAATGACAAAACACTGGTTCAGCATAACAGGAATCAGTGATTATAAGGTTTACAGTACAGTTTTCTTTCAAATAAAATTGTACACAAGAATTCACACATGAAAACTTACATTCATACATTATGTACACAGGTTAAAAAAAAAAAAACGACCCCAGTTTCATATTTTTGTATTACTTGAAATATTTTGAAATACGGACAATGTCAACATCCAAATATTATACACCGTAGTAACAAATCTGCTCAATTTTGTGCAACATTCTACCTAAAATCTTAAAGAAATGATTACTTAAAATATTCATTATGAATGATGTAAGATACCATTAATAAAAGTATTCCAAAAATTCTCACTCAAGACAAAACCTGGGGTTAAATGGATACCAAAGCATAGAATATGAAGTTACATAAATGACGACAGAAGTTTGATTTTTGGGTGCACTGTCCCTTTAAGGCCCTTGTTTAAGATCACAGTGGCACTGGGATTCACTTCAGTTCCAGGTGAAGCCAAGGCCGTGATTTGGTGCTTTTCTTGATTAGAGATAAACTGAAGTCATCAGGAAGTTCATTCTCCCTGAGCAGAACTGATGCTGAAAAAACTCCTTTGAATTTGTCCTCATCCAGGAGGAACTTCAATATGAATAGTCTTCTCCTTCATGTTGGACTTCATGTTGTCCACTTTTCCTTGAGAAAGTATATCATTTATTGACTCGATCTTAACTGACATAAGAGTTTGTCCCAGTCAGGGTCATCTGATGGTTTGGTGGACCTTTGTGTTCAAAGATCTAAAAAAAAAAAACTGTTACAAGGCTTTAATTTTAGCCATAAGTCCACTCACAAATTCAAGCCAGGTCAGTTTACAGTGTGTCTGTTACTGAACTGGGTGGGATTGCTATACTGATGAGTCCTTCCTTTTGCTTCTGCTAGTATTCTGACTAGACGTGAGCCCTGTTATAAAGAAAATGATTATTATTTGAGCTTGCTGTAAAATGTGAAGGTTATTTTGAGTTACTAACAGTGAAATTACCCTCTCGACAGCTCGGTCCGACCCAACCGTTGAGACAGGTGCAGCGTCCATTGCGTGGATTGCACTGACCTCCGTTGTGACATTCACATCTCTCCGAGCAGTCAGGCCCAAACTGATTCACTCCACAGTCTGATAGGAAATTAAAAAGAAATTGTTGACAAAAAAAAAAAAAAGGTTCAAATGATAAAGCAAATTTAGTGGAAGGCTTACCTATATCACAGCGAGATCCCATTTTCCCAGGTGCACACAGACACCTGCCACTGATAGGATCACATGGTGTGTCTCCGTCACAGTCACATTTGTGGACACAATTAGGCCCAAATTTACCTGGATCACACTCTGAAACACAAACATACACTTTATATATATAATTTAATATAATGTATTAATCATATATAGTTTATCATCCACATCATACAAGAGCTCCTCTGCACCTCTATCACAGCGAAGTCCTTGATATCCTGGAGGACAGAGACAGCGGCCGGTTCCAGGGTCACAAGGTGCATTGGCAAAGCAGTCACACAAAAGCTGGCAGCGATGTCCATGGAAACCAACAGGGCATGCTTTTGAAAAAAATTAAATAAAATTGAATCATTACATAACTGGCTAAATTGGTCAGGATGCAAAATTAGATGAAATAGGTGCTGTGTTTTCTCACCATGTTCACAGAGATGTCCGTAGTACCCAGGAGGACAGTGACACTCGCCCGTCACTCTGTTACAGGTGCTGTTATTTTTACAATAACATATTTCCCTGCAGTTGGCCCCATATTGGCCTCTGGGACACTCTGATCAACACATGTTTAAACAGAATTTAATAACCTATAAGCCATTTTTCATACTATACATTAGAATGTTAAATTCCTAAATGTATTATTTACTTCTTATTTTTAATTTGTTTATTTTATAATTATATAATTTAATTTATTTTATTTAGGCAAAATTGTATTTAATAAAATAAAATTCTATTATATATATTATATTATAATTTGCTATATTTATTATAACACTAACAATTTATTTAAAAAATAAATAATATAAAAATATAAAATATATATTTCATTTATTATAGAATTTATTTTAAATTACCTACTTTTTATTTTTAATTTATGAATATATCATATAATTTTATTTATTTAAATTTATTTTATTTAGACAAAATTGTATTTAATAGAATAAAATTATATGATATATTCTATTATAATTTCACATATTTATTATAGCACATTAACAATTGATTTTAATAAACATAAATAATATAAACAATATATTCCATTTATTTTAGAATTTATTTTAAATTACCTACTTTTTATTTTTAATTTATTTTATAATTCTATAATTTTATTTATTTTAATCTATTTTATTTAGACAAAATTGTATTTAATAGAATCAAATTCTATTATATATTCTATTATAATTTCATATATTTATTATAGCACATTAACAATTTATTTTAAAGGTGACATATTATGCCCCTTTTTACAATATGTAATATAAGTCTCAGGGGTCCCCAGAATGTAACTGAAGTTTCAGCTCAAAAATACCCTACAGATCATTTATTATATCATTTTGAAAATGCCTTTTGAGTGGAAGCAGAAACACGCTGTATTAGAGCATGTCTCTTTAAATGCAAATGAGCTGCTGCTCCCCGCCCCCTTTCCAGAATAGAGCTATGCCATTCCAGATACTAACAGCTAAAAAAAACGTCTGTTTTGGATCTCATTATCATGTTTATTGCTCTGAAATCATGCGTTTTAAACCATATGAGTTTAAACTTCTGATATACGGTTTTCTGAGCGCACACATCCGGAAGCACACGGACAGAAAGCGTCTGTCACAGCATGCGAGTACTAAACTAAGTTCTCATTCACACACAAGTTTACGTTAAAAACACGCATAAGTTACAAAACAGTCTGTTATGTCTGTGAAGGTAAACAGCTTGGAAATAAATCACGTTTATTTTATATCTGTGTGGCAGCAGCAATATACAGTAAATAAATCAATAAATGCACTGCTCTGTTGTCTCGTCTGAGGCTGGGACTCTAAACAGTGTTCTGTGCT